CCCCCCTCACTCTATATATACCAGCTTTCCAGCTGGGCACTGTCTCCTCAGGTGTGCCCTCACCATGGCTTGCTGGGGGATCCTGTGCTTGGCCTTGTGCTCCTACCTCGGGGTGGCCTGGGCTGCGACCGTAAGTACAAAGGCACTTCTCAGGGCTTGGCAAGATATTTCACCTGTCCCTGCCTGAGTGAGCAAACCCCTGTTACACCAATCTGGATCTCTGACAGAGGGTTTGCAGGCCTGGCAGCTGGGGCACGGTGTTTTCCTGCCCTCAACATGGCAGAGGCTCTCAGGGACATTTTCCTAAGAGTTCCTGCTCAGTTTTGTGTCAGGTCTGGCCAGGTTTACACCCTAAGGGTCACCCCAGGAGGCCGAAGGGCCTCTCCTTCTACCATTTATCTTTGGGAGTGTGTAGGAATTGCTGCTGCCTGTCTGCTCCAAAGGGCACCTGCAGGACACCTGCACGGGCACAGCTCCAGTGGCACCTCCCTGTGGGCTTCCCACAGGGGTCCAAGGGCACGGATGGGGAGGGTGGGCTGGGAGTGGGTCTGTGTGGGGGACTGGCCAGGGCAAGGTGTAGGTGCTGGTGGCATGGGAAGCCAGAGGCATGAGGAACTGAGCAACAGATTGTCTCTCCTCCATGGTACCCCTGTAGCTGGGTGTGGTGCACACCGAGGGCGGTTTTGTGGAAGGCGAGAGTAAGAAACTGGGACTCTTTGGGAGCTACGTTGACATCTTCAGAGGGATTCCCTTTGCTGCCCCTCCAAATAGGCTGGAAGATCCCCAACCTCATCCTGGCTGGGATGGTAAGATCCAAGCTTTGAATGCCTTTGGTTTGGGATTTTATTTTTCCTTCTCTCTCTTTTAGTCTGTTTTTGGCAAGCCAAAGATGTTGTTGCCTGCTTTTATCGACTAAGCAGAGCCAAGAAAAAGCTCTTTGTCTCCTGGGGGGTCTGAGAGTCTGTGTCTAGGTGTTCCCAAGCAACTCGAGTAACCCCAGAAAGTAACAAAACCAAAGCATGGCACCTGCACCTGCCCTCCCCAGGCCATGGCTGTCCAGAGCTAGTTCACAGGGGCAAGGCTTCCACTTTGTCACTCCCTCAGACCGGTCACAGTGGCTGGGGAGGCTTTTCTGCCTCTGCACTGGACTCAGAGAGCAAAGGATGGGTGGATTGCAACCAGTGGATGGAGTTGATGCCCTTAATTAGGACATGCTGTCTTCCCTCTCTCCTCTCAGGAACACTGAATGCAAAATCATTCAAGAATCGCTGCATGCAGATGACGCTCACCCAGACTGATGTCCGTGGGAAAGAGGACTGTCTCTACCTGAACATGTGGATCCCTCAAGGCAGGAGACAGGGTATGTGCTTGGCAGGGACCTGGGCAGGAGATTCCCAGCTGCCTTTTGTGCACAGATTATTCTGAAGCATCTCTCAGCAGTTACATTCCCATAGTGGGCAAGTGCTGAGCAGTGATTTTGGGGGGAAAGGTGGGAACTGAGTCAGGCAACGACCCCCAGCTGCAGCCTCTTGGGAGGTTCAGCCTCTTGTGCAGAACAAGGACTTCCTTGGCCAGAGGTGATGGCAGAGCCTTGTCTGTTCCTGCCCAGGTGCAGTGATGCTCAGGGAGTGGGTGAGGGGATGGATGAGCTGCACCTCCTGGCTCTGTTGTGGCTCAGTCTGCTCCTCTTGCTCACCTGGCAGTCTCTACCAACCTGCCTGTGATGATCTTCATCTATGGTGGTGCCTTCCTGGTGGGAGGGAGCCAGGGAGCCAATTTCCTGGATAACTACCTGTACGATGGCGAGGAGATCGCCGTGCGGGGCAACGTCATCGTGGTCACCATCAACTATCGCCTGGGGCCCCTGGGCTTCCTGAGCACGGGAGACGAAAACATGCCAGGTACCACTGCTGCTGCCTCTGTGTCTGGGGGGGACCCTGTGATGGGTCAGCTTTGCTGTGCCCTTGCTCAGTGGTGGGTGCTCTGTGCCGCTCAGGGAACTACGGGCTGAAGGACCAGCACATGGCTATTGCCTGGGTGAAGAGGAACATCAAGGCCTTTGGGGGTGACCCAGAAAACATCACCATCTTTGGGGAATC